CACATACATTCTCATGTCTATTGATGGGGAGCGCCACCTGCTGAAAACTGGGTCCAGCGTCCCATGAACATCGTGAATAAAGCATCAATCGGGACACCACACACACACTCTCTTCCAATTGTGTATAGCGAACATGACAAAACATACATACAGCATATTCACTACCTTACCCTTCCCGAACCACATAAACAAATGAACTACGGGCTGCGCACCCGTGCCCTCACGGTAAGTCAATTAAAAGTTGGAAAGGAACCGAATCGGCGCGGCCATTATTTCACAGTCAAAATGATTTTACTTATTTATTTTTATATTTTTCCTTGAAAGATCACGACCTAATCTACAGAACCTCAAATTTTTAAAATTTTTAAAGAATTCCTATGAGCACGAAAAATCACCAAAGTTGCGGCTTTCAAATGGTGGGATTGGACCCGCAAGTGACGAACGGTCGTCGCCCCTCCGTAGAACCCGACCCTAACTCACAGGGTTGAGGGTTTTCGGCTGTTGGGGCGAGTGGCGGTTCACCTCTAATAACCTCCCAAGGCGCCCTTGAGATTTTATTCATTTTTTGTTGGTCACACTTGAGTTTCAATGGCGGACAGTTACCTCCATCTTACGGGGGTTGTCACCTCCCTTCGGTGGGCGTATCCCCGCCGAGCTACCAGTCCACAATCAGTTGCAATCGCAGAGGTGGACCAGCCGAGGGCGTTTCTCGTTTGCTGTAGCATAGGGGATACGTGCGGTAATACGCCTATTGGACCCGCACACGAACCGACATCCTGGGGGGTTGAAGTCCCAAGTGTGGCCCGTCATCGGTCGACTAAGATGCATCACACACACCACGCGCACACCACTTTACGAACGCAAAAATAAAACACACACACACGCACATACGAAACGACACAACACAAACAACGCGACAACGCTTCTAGCCCCTCGGTAGCCAACCCATAACTTTCCGATGCAGAAATCGGATAGGAGTCGCGCGCGAGACTTAGTATAAAACCGCGCGGACGCAGGGCCTACTCATATCGACTCGCAATGCAGGTGTACGCAAGCAGTCGCAATGATGGCGTACTATGTAGTGCCCATAATCATGCGGTCCTCATTAATCTCGAGGGTCGCATTCGACACTCAAGTGTCGATTGACACGCGCCTTGAGGGTTAATCTCTCGACGCTGGACAACCGCCAAGCGTCATTGAAGACCACATACCCTCTTCTACACCTTATGCAGAGCAGGTGGTACACAGGTCCCTACCTGTGGTGGCAGTCGCCTCTTACGGCCCCGGAGATGAGTCTCACTCCGGGCCTCGGCGGAAGTCAAGGGGTTTGACTTTGACGGCTGCCACGGACTACAACGTCCAACCATAAAAATCTTCAATAAGCAAAGGATAAAAGGGGATCCCCCTTTTCTCTCAAGGACATAATCTGGTCAACCCTTACGCACGATCACAGTAAACCGCGCGCATACCCAAGGCACATATAAATATATATATATATAAGGCTTATTTATACATGGACGATCACTTCTCACAGTCACAGTGGGGCTCCTCTCAACCATATATGTATGTAATCGCAGGCAGCCACATCCAGAGTCCGAACCACAAACGCACTTGCAATCACATCAAAGATTCATCCAGAAGTCCACGCTCTACACGGGGTCAACTTCAACCATTCCTTGCACTCATACCCCTCGCCTTAGCCATACAAACCTCACTCGTGTAACTCTCAAATAAATACTCAGTACTTTTATTGGATGACCATTCAATAAAGTCCGGATGAAAACACAACAAAACAGTTCAATCACAAGGTTAAAGCCTTTAGGTTAAGTGACAGAAGTGAATTGGAGTTGAATCGTAAACCGACGAATCGGCAACCGACCTGTTATCAATGATAACAGAAGATGATCCTTGTCGGATCAAGCTGAATCTAGTCCAAATCCTGAATCGATACGATCAAAATGACCTGTATCACCAGACAGGTCAATCCCCAAGCTAGATCCATAAGCTCATGGAAAATAACCCCCATATCACAATCTCACTGAAGCATCCTAATTAGTCAAGCCTATATCTACCTCCAAGTCAGTGTCCAATGCAAAGGTAGACCCTGGCATAATCTTCCCTTTCACAGGGTGGATTGTCAAAATCGCCACCTGTCAAAATATAATCTATCTCCCCTATATCAATAAATTTTCGGTAGCGCTTCCCAAAGTGTCTTCCCAGAATTTATATAAGCTCAAATATGAAAACAGGAATAATCTTTAACTCTGGAAAGTCAAATTCTGTCTAATTCCCTGAATTAGTATAAATTTGGGCAGCACTCCCTTTAGGAAGGAAGACTTCCCAGATTTATACTAAGTCAGATTCAAACTCAAAAACAAACTTTGAGTCCAACTTAGACAAGATTTAACCAACTTCTTAGTTTTGCATAAATTTCGGCAGCATTCCCTTTAGAAAAGTGTTATTTCAAAACTTATACAAGGCTAAATCCAGAATTTAAGGATAACTTTGACTTCTCAAAGTCCAATTTTGTCTAACTCCCTGAATTAACAAAAATTTGGGCAGCACTCCCTTTAAAAAAATGGACTTTTCAGATTTTTAGTAGGTCAGATATAACGAAAAGACAAGTCGAACTTTGACAAGTCAAAAATTGACCAACTCCTTGGATTTGTAGAAATTTCAGCAGCGCTTCCCGTAGAGAAAGTAACTTGTCAAGATTTATACAAAGCCAGGGACAAAAAAATGATCATAGAAAATGCGATAATTGATCTAAGTAAAAAAACTTAGCTCAGAAAATGCAGGAATTGAAACTAACTCCTATAGCTCTAGCACGTGGTGAGCAACTAAAGCAATTACCTATCAAACTGAAACTCAGACCAAGTAGTAACCTCACTCAGCCATATGCGGGCCAAACCACAAGGGTAAGTACTCTCGCCATCCCCAAGTCAACCTGAACAGACAATAGTTCATGATCCTTCAATGATTTAGCCCTTTATACCCTGCTTACATAATGCCTAGGTCAGGCCACCTAAACTTACAAAGCGCGCCCAACTTAGTCAGGCCCAAAGTCAGAATACCTAAACTTACAGAGCGTTCTGACTTAGCCAAGTATACACAAACACAGGGCACAACTACTTTTCTCTTCTTTGGGCGCATGACTAGACCATTCTAGTCACCCTGAACTGTTTAAAGTATCCAAGTTATATATACCTGTCTTTCCCGTTGTCTTCTAAGGTTGCATATGACTGGACTAACTTAAGTCCAGCCTGCCCCAGCTTACCATCAATTTTACTTTTAGTTATACTCTCTTCAAGTTGTGATAGGCTATAGTCAGACCACCTAAAC